GCTGCTGGTGGTGTGGTTGCTTGTAGTACTCGCAGCAAGGGTGGGAGTCGGCGTCGCACCCGTGGCCCCAGTGTGCTTGCTGCTGCTGCTGCTGCCGCTGGGAGTCATGATGATCGCGGACGTCAGGCAATCCACAGCCATAAAACGCCGTAGTAAACGGTCAGCAAGCAGCAGCAGCAGCAAGTAGAAGGATGTGAGAGAGAAAATGCGGACTGGACCAGAGAGTGGCCTCTAAGACCTACCAGGGTGTCAGAGTGCAAGCAGTACTAGTAGGACTGGATCAGAGTGTGTGTAATGCGTTACAGTGTGAGCGTCCTCGCAGGCCGGTTTGGATCTTCGGGTTTCACGAGGACCACAAGGGCTGTTTGGCGCTCTAGGCCACACGAGGACGCTTAGACTTAGTAGTAGTACTTATAATACGTACTCGCGTTTTCCCCGGTTTGCAAGCGGCGCTGCGGCTTTGTGGAAAGGGAATGACTAGCCGCGTGACCTCCTCTGGAGGGGGGAGGGGCGACAGTAGTAGTCGTAGTTCCGGATTTCCGCAGTAGTGACGAAAACGCGGCGCGGCGGCCTGATCAAACAGAAACCGCGTGGTTCTGCCGCAGAACAGTGCTCCTGGCGTATTGGGGAGTCAACATAATAGTTTGAACCGCGCAAAGCTGAGTCCGCTCCGCAACAAGCGGCTACCTCGTCGTCAAGAAAACTCAAACCGCGGGGCTAATCAAATCGAAACTGTGATATCAAATCATAATAGTTTGAACCGCAGCTTGAAGCTGACTCGTACTGCCCCGAGTCACGTATTCTCTTATCTCACACGCGGAACGCCGCGGCTTTTGACGGGTGCTTCTAGAGCATTGGCACTGATCAAAAGGAAAAACCGCGTTGCTCGCTTTCAAGGTTTCACCACAAAGCTCCGAGGTCAGCCAGACAATCGGCCGCGGACAACTTGAAGCCAGCTAGTCTTACTCCGAGTAGCTTCAAGGTTTTATCATAAATTGGCAGTGCTTACTAGGGTATCCTGGCCTCTGGCAGTGCTTACTAGGACATCCTGCCAGGACATCCACCAGTGGTGCTGCAAGAAACAAAATCTGTCGTGCCCGGAGGCTGCTAGTACTAGTACGTACACGTACGTCATTCTTACACCTACACTACACCAGCCTGGCCGCGGAAAGCAGCAACAGTTCAGCCTGTTGAGGCAACTTGTCGACCCGGTTCGTGCACTGTACACTACGCGGCGGAGGCTCGACCGAATTTCTTTAACTACGTTTACGTGTACTACAGTACACGTACACCGCGGATCCCAACTACAGTAATAGCACTGTACGCGGACCGTGGGGCGGGGCGGGCGGTAATACTGTAGTTCCCCGCTGCGCACTCCAACGGACACATTGCTTTTCGACTCGATGCTGTCGAGGCGCGAAGCCATAGTAATGCGACGGAGCACGCCACGGTTCCTTCCTGGATCCCCTCCCTCTCCCCTTCTCTCCAGAGTCAAAATTTCCGCTCTACCATAAATATATGATGGCTCTCACATAGAAAGGGGGAGGGGGTCTAAGAAGGAGGCCACGGGAGGAGGAGGGCCACGGGGGAGAGGTGGAAGAAGGGGCCTGAGGGGATTGGAGGGGGGGTGGGGGGATTGGTGGGGAAGGGGTGGAGTGTCGCGGAAAAGCCAACGGGAGGAACTGGGATTGGAAATATCGAGGGACTGGCTGGCATGATGGGGCGTGCTCTTCGGTTCGGTTCGGTGCTGCGTCATGTTGAACACACAGCCTAGGCTTGAGGCAGTGTGCGTCATGGCTTGGATGGTGGGCGTGCAGCATAGCACACCTCCCATCAGCCGATGACCGCGAAAATGACCGCGGGTCAAAGTTTTGCAACAGATCTAGGCACGGGCGGTAGATACGCGTAGTTACAAAAAGCCAAATTAGCGACATAAGTCAAAAGTCAGACAAGTTGAGGAATGTCGGTTCTGGGTCAAAATACAGGCGGTGCTTGGTTGAGCGACTAACGGCGGGATTGTTGCATCTGCAGATGGATTGGCTAGCGACAGCTCCAGGTGTTGAACCGATCGAAGGGATTGGTTAACGACTGCGGTGGGTGGTATTAAGAGATCTTTCTACCCAATCAGCATCCCACAGACTCGTTCACACGATTTCTGGCACGAGCGGGATATGGTATGACAGTACAGTCGATGCCTATTAGAAGAACCCCACCTTCGCCTTATCAAAGGGCGGGGACTGAGCACAGGCGTTTCGCTAATTCGCCCAAATTCGCCACTGGAAAAAATGGGGCTGTAACGCGGAAGTGGAAGGGTTGGCGAATTACCATGTATTGCTTTTAAAATATCTGACGAAGGGATGGTTGACAGTGTGATAAGCAGTTCGATCGACGGCTACGATCTCCTGATGTGACTGTATATGAGGGACCGTTGTCTGTCCACGGGACTAGGTGAGCATCGACTGTAGAAGGTGATTGTACCTTGGGTTTTGGGTTGATCACGCACACTTACGACGCGTCAACTCCTGCTAAAATCGGTGATCGATCCTGCAAAATCGATCGGCCACCGCACTGAAGTCCTGCATTTGCTTCCAGGTTTTAAAAGAACCTCCTCTAACCCAGGAAAAAATTCGAACCTGCCCGAGATCGATCGCTGAAATTTGCAGGAGTTGACGCGTCCTTACTGAAAGGGTATTACTGGAAACTTGTGTTTTCTACCCACAATTATTTTCGTTGAGTGGCACTTTACACGAATTCTCATACACGACATCCAGATTAGTGTCACGCTTCATCAGAAAAAAAAAAAATCGCCACGTGTTCGATGCGATTTCGCTGAAACATTTTGACGCAACTGACAAAAAAATAAACCCCTAGGGACACTGTGTCAGAATGTTATTCTCTAGCCTGTAGTGGGGTGCTCTATAGCGAGTACAACCCATCTAGGGTTTGCTATATGTATCCTCATTGCTGCTAGTGAACCCCCTCTTTGCCTAAACTTTCTCTTGCCTAGCTAGGGTTCTCCTAGCTATGGCTCCTGCTTATGCTTACTCTTTTGACATGGTAACAGAGCGTTCACGCTCCTGGCCTGTGGGCCCCACTGCTGCTTCCGCTGCCCTACTCAGTGTCGCGCGCCCCGTGGCGCGCGACCTTCACATTTTCATCCCGCCGCGCGCTCGGGGCGTGCGGCGGTTTTCTCCCCGCCGTGCGCACCGAGGCGCACGGCGGTTTCCTACCGTGGGGGACGCCCGCGGCCCCCCGATCCCGTCGCCCGCGGCCCTCCGGTCCCGTCGCCCGCGGCCCCGCGATCCCGTCGCCCTGGGGAGCCGCACGCGACCCCCCGCGGCCCCGTTTTCCCGTCGTGCCGCCCTGGGGAGCCGCGCGCGACCCCCCGCGGCCCCGATTTCCCGTCGTGCCGCCCTGGGGAGCCGCGCGCGACCCCCCGCGGCCCCGATTTCCCGTCGTGCCGCCCTGGGGAGCCGCGCGCGACCCCCCGCGGCCCCGATTTCCCGTCGTGCCGCCCTGGGGAGCCGCGCGCGACCCCCCCGCGGCCCCGATTTCCCGTCGCGCCGCCCTGGGGAGCCGCGCGCGGCCCCTCTCTGCCCCGTGGTCGCGTTCTGGGGGCCGAGCGCCGTCCCCCTCGCCGTCCCCCGCGCTCCTTCCCCCGTTCCGCCCGTTTTTAGGGTTTTGGGGTGCGGAGTGTGGGGGTGGCAGCTCTGGGGGTGCCGTGTGTGTGCGCCGTCCCCTGCTCCTCCTCCTCCTCCGTCTCCCACTGCTGCAGCTGCCGCTGAGGGGGGTGGATGTGTGGGAGCCGAGGTTTAGGGTTTAAGGGGGGTGCCGTGGAAGTGGAGCTAGGGTGTCAGCAGGGGGTGTGTGAGAGGGGCGTGGGACGGTCGGGGGAGGTTGAGCGGAGGCTGCCGTCTTGTCGTCAGCAGCACCTGTAGTCCGGGGCGCTGTTCCGGTAGCCCAGTCGTAGCCAGCTGCGCCAGTCGCCCGTGGGTCCGTTGCTCGTCTGCCGCTCTTCTTAGCCGCGGAGCCAGTTACTCCTGTAGTCCGGGGCGCTGTTCCGGTAGCCACTGTGCCAGTTTGACTCCTGTTGCCCGTGTGTCTGCAGCTTCAGCCGTCGCCTCTCATCTTCTCTCCTTCCACAGTTCCTCCTCCTCCTCACTTGCCCTTTGTGAATGCCTCTAGCTTTGCTTGCACTTGTGAACCTGCTTTCTACCTGCTTGCTCATTGTACTGATTACACCCCACTTTGGCTATGGGGGTGTGTCAGAATGTTATTCTCTAGCCTGTAGTGGGGTGCTCTATAGTGAGTACAACCCATCTAGGGTTTGCTATATGTATCCTCATTGCTGCTAGTGAACCCCCTCTTTGCCTAAACTTTCTCTTGCCTAGCTAGGGTTCTCCTAGCTATGGCTCCTGCTTATGCTTACTCTTTTGACACACTGACTCATTTCAGGAAGCATCAACCCTAAACACGGGAATGGCCAGGTCATTAGGTTTGATTCATCGAAAGCGTTATATTAAAAAAGGGATCAACCCTAAACACGGAACTGGCAAGGTGTTTACGACGTGTTGCGACCCACACGGGTCGGGTCGACCAACCCCCAATCCTAAATTTCTCGGAAGGTTGCGTCGCGGGTCTATTCGACCAGGTCGGGTCAACCCGGCCGACCAAACCCAACCCAACAGAGCTGGAGCAGGTTACCCGAGCTTGCGAACTCTGTGGTCCTCGCTCGGATGTCGCCTGAATCTTGCCTAACAAAAAGTGACCCGGTAATATCGCGCACGTCTAGCCCAGCCCACCTTCTAACCCGCGCAGTAACGGCGCTCACCTAACTTCGAATTTGCAAGGTAGGCGACGGGAAATTCCTTGTTTTATCGAGTCGCCATTCGGTTGGGTTGGGTCGGGTCGGATCTAGCCGACCTGGTCGACCCGACCCGACCCGACCCGACCCGACCCGAGGTGTTGGGTCGCAACACGTCGTTAGGGTCGATTTGTCGAAAGTAGTCATTCGTTCCCTAAGGTTGGTTTTTTCAATACACCCTAAAAAACAAATATCTGGTTCAGTTGCACGTACATTTTGCAGGCACATGAAATCTGCACGAACATGCACACGTGGCGAAAATAATCGCCCGTAGACA